CGTGTGGGCGCAGAGCCACGCCTCCAACCTGCTCGCCATCAACACCACCGTGCAGCTCATCGCCAAGCACTTCCCTGACGTGCCCATCCTGCACACTGTCGGCAACCACGAATCTGCGCCCGTTAACAGGTGACCGAGGCGCAAAACTGTATTATCTGCCTATGAATTCTGATTGATATAAAAAAGAAAAGAAAAAGAATGTGCATAGATGTAATAGTGACAGTGATCGTGAACAGGGACTTTCGCCTACAACTGGACCGAAATATATCGCAGGACATAATGTTCCTGTGAATTCCTGAAGGTCGTTTTGAAGGGTCTGATTCCATCGCGCGCTACTACTCATTTCCATCTCGTTTGCATTTGCTAATTAAGAGTTGGCACCATGAAGTGGCGAGTCCTTGCTCTCATTAGCTGCGCGCCGGAAGGAGAAGACCAAGTGCCGTATCTCGGTACGAAAGCTCACGCTCCTCAGAAAGCAGAGCAAGAGGCGATAAAGGGGAGCGTGGAGAGGCTGTTCAGGCTTGTTGGTCCTTGCGAGAGGCCTGGAACGGGGTCTGCGGGGCCTGCGCTGGCACTGAGAGCGGTGTTAGTTGTGTGATCCATGGTCACACGTGTAGGTATTTTATTACTAGACAGGTGAACAGATAGATAATTGAATAGCCAGATAGATAGGAAGATAGAGTATACATGGTATTTTCATATTATATAAGTAGATAGACAGAAAGATAGATTGAGTGAACGCGAGACCAAGACAGAGAGAGAAAGAGAGAGAGAGAGAGAGTCAGAAAGCATATGCAGTGTAAACTTTTTGCCAAGACAGTCAGTCTCCTTCGTCGAAATACATGAAAACCTAGGAGACAGGCACAAAGAGGTAGATAGATAGATATATAGATGGATAGATAGAGAGCAAGAGGGAGAGAGAGGAGAGGAGAGAGAGAGGAGAGAGAGAGAGAGAGAAGAGAGAGAGAGAGAGACGAGAGAGAGAGAGAGAGAGAGAGAGAGAGAGAGAGAGAGAGAGAGAGAGAGAGAGAGAGGGAGGGGTATATTAAGAAGATTTAGGGATTAATGGACACATGTATATGTCATTAAGACAATTAAATGGGTACAAACGAAAATAGACAGTGGAAAAGGAAAAAAGCGATTAAAAGTATGATTAGTTGTGTATACATTTGACAGATGTTTTTAATTATCATAATTATACCAAGTGTATTCCTCTCAGATTTATCTCTATCGCCCTAAGCAATCTTTCCCATCAGTTACGTTGTTCCACGTGCATACGCTGATGGCTGGAGCATGGGTTGGCTGTACGACAGTTTAGCCGAAGTATGGGCGCCATGGCTACCCGATGAGGTACTGCCAGACGTACGGCAAGGAGGTTACTTTTCATACTCTCCGGTGCCAGGATTGAGGATCTTGTCTGTCAATATGAACTACTGCAATACTCAGAACTGGTAAGTGCGGACAATCGGTGATCAATGAGTTTGTAGCTGAATATTTTTTTTCAAATATTCCGTCCCAGCAACACCTGTGGAAGTGAGGAAGCATTTCTACTCTTATTTCAACACCACAGTTATCGATTATAACAGCATATTTTTCTCAAAACATAAAGATGCTCCTTTATGGGACAGTAACTGATGCAAAAACGTAGTGCAGCTATAGTGAATGTATGGAATCTTTATCTTTGTGTGTGCGCGTTAAAGAATATTTTCAATGCGTTTATGTGTCATTTCCATTGCCTTTCTTACCTTGTATATATCGATTAATTGGCAAGAAGCTTATCAAATTTCATAACGTAAGTTATTCGCTTACAGTAACGGTAATAATAATGATAACAAATAATGAGACAAATACTGAGGGAAATCATACTGACAAAAATAAAATGTTCTTATCTAAAACTATGCCCAATACCGTTCTGTTCTATATTACTTTGCATTTTTTTTCGGGAAAGCGGACGCATGCTTATGTATGTCTCTGTTTCCTCCGCAACATGCCTATTAAGTTGTTGGGAGGATCTTACATAAGCTAAACCTTGTCAATAGGATTTATTTCCAGGTGGTTTTGGTTACAGAATCGCCTCGTGTGTATAGGGCAGTTTTTCTGCATGCATATGTTGTTGCAGGAAAATGGCAGAAAGCAGTACTGACAGAGAGAACGCCAAACAGTTTCGATATATATTGTTTCTCAATTGAATATCTTTGTTCGCGAGTTCATCAACTCCATGCAGAAGATCTATCCACACAGGTTACGTAGACATTTCTTGCAGTTTCACATATAATATTCTGTCATACCACACACACACACACACCACACACACACACACACACACACACACACACACACACACAACACACACACACACACACACACATACATATATATATAATATATATACTAATATATATATATATATATATATATATATATATATAATATAATATATATATATATATTGTATATATGTGTGTGTGTGTGTATGATAAGAGAGAGAGAGAGAGAGAGAGAGAGAGAGAGAGAAGAAGAGAGAGAGAGAGAGAGAGAGAGAGAGAGAAGAGAGAGAGAGAGAGAGAATTCGTGTGTAAATACGTACGCGTTAGCTCGTATGTGTACGGTGTCTGTGTATGGTTGTGTGTGTGCGTAGGGGGGTGCATGTTTGTCTATGATTGTGTGTATGTGTGTATGGGGTTGGTATTTAGATGTATATGTATTGTATATGTATGTGCGTGTGTGACACAGAAATACTGTAGTTCTCTTCCCTTTTCTTCTTCGCAACTGCATGTGATTCCCCTCGCCATTAGCATTAACAGAGAGGCTTAAGGAAGTTCAAGTCAGTTTGTATGTAGTGTAGCCCGAGCACCTTTTTTTTTCTAAAATACTCGAGTTGTTTTGTTTAACAAATTTCTTTCATGTTTAAACGATACATCGTAAATATGTTTGTATTTTAACTAAATACAGCACAGAGCTATATTGCTGGGAAAATTCCCTTCATTTACATAACAAAAATTTTGACTCTTTTTTTGTCAAATGAAATTCAATAGCACCAAAATATATGATTGTCAGTTTAATGGCACATTATGAAACGCATACAAGTGAGTTGCAAACACTTCGCCTCATTGACATCCCGAACATACAGAATCTCCAAACAAAATGCAGACTATTGCACAGGCAAGAAATCGAAGAAAACAAATTGATTAGGCAATTTAATAGTTGTGCGAGTACGCGCAGTGTTATACATTTCGCTTTCACGAGATCAGGAATATACAAAAAAGTCCTAATAAAATGCCCTTATCACACTGTGAAAAGTGACCCCTACAAGACCAAAGGCTGGAGAAAACACCACGAACAAGAAACAGGCAACAGCGAGCACATACAGACGCTCCCGCGTGTGGCGCCTCTCACAAACACCATTTAGAGCCTTGACGGCCAGCTTTAACCCAAGTTTTATATCTCTCCAGAGACTTTATCGCCTTTGCCCTCACCTCAGCCGTGTTCTCACAGCCACACAGTCTGTACTTTTTCCTTCTTTTCTTAGGGGAAGACTATTAATCGGGGATAATGATTCACAGTTTTTTTGTGCTTTTCCTGCTGTGTATTTACTCAGCATGTTATCTTGTTCTAATGTTGTTAGAGGTTTTCACGTACATACGGAAGCGGCTACATTAGTGCGATATTGTATTGCCATGATGTGATTTCAAAATATATAAGATTTGCATTCCAAACAGGTAATTGCTGACGTAAATGAAACCAGAAAGATCAGGTTACTAATGATGACATTGTTACTAAAGCACTATAGCAACAGCATTATAAATGATTGTCCCATGCTCTGTAACTCTTTAGATGAAAAATGTGTAATGAGAAGTACAGAGGCCAGTCTCCAGTCACTGCATTGGTCACCTGCAAGCCGAACTTTTACAGGTGGCTCTTACTGCAGAGAAACGACCCCGCTGGGCAGCTGCAGTGGCTGGTGGAGCAGCTGGCGTCGGCAGAGTTGGCCAAGGAGCACGTGCACCTGCTGGGCCACATTCCACCCGGCGGGGGCAGCTGCGATCACAGCTGGTCTCATAATTTCAACCTTATCGTCGCCAGGTAAACTCGCGAAATAGGTCACTCTCCTAGGTTGGTTTTATTGCTGCTCCTTAATGTATACTTTGTTTACGTGGGTCATTATTAGGTTTATTGCCTGCATTGAGATGTAAAAAAGTACTGACTGGTATATCTTCACAATAGCCATGATAAATATATGAGATTTTTTTTTCCTTAAGATAAGAAATTATGTGTGTGCTTTCCGTTTTATAATTCATTTTATCAACTTCCGATAACAATTCGAATATATCATTTAAAGTACAGATATTGTCTCTTTAAAAGTATGAAACATCATCATCCTTAGGTTCGAGTCGACGATAAGGGGAATGTTCTTCGGCCACAACCACGGAGACTCTTGGCAGATCTTGTACGACCCCGACGATTACGTGAGGCCAGTTGCTGTTGCATTCAGCGGGCCTGCGGGTAGGGAGGATGTGCTTCGGTTGCCTTCGCACTACTACTTGTCTATCAGTGTATCTTCTTTTGTTGACGTAAAAAAAAAAAAAAAATCCTTGAAATATTGAATGTTTCGTAATACGATTGTCAGACTACAGTTACAACGAAGGATAAGGATTTTCATAACTAGAATAAAATAAAGCCATTGGAAATTCAGATGCGTAGGAGTGAAAGTCTGCAAACACGAATTTCAAGAGAAGTAGATTTCATGAAACATGCGAAGACAGTTTCCGCGCCTTTGCTTTGGTCGGTAAGACGATGATAACCCACACAAGAACAGATGGTTCTTTACGTTTCTGACGACAACCGGAAGAAAACATAAAATTATGTTATTGTCCGTGTAATCTTCATATTCATTGACACTGTATAATGAAAGGGTGATTCGGAGCGCATCAATAGCCTACCGTAGTCCTTAGTTCAGGAGAAAAGGGATCTTCACATCCATAGAAGGCTGTTTCCACATGATGAATGAATTGCGCCCCCTCCCCCTTCCCCCCCATCCCTTCAACAGGACAAGTTGGCCGACGAGAAGAAAAGCTTCCAGACCAACTGTAGGCAATACAGCAAAATGACAGGTTGCAGCGGGCGCGGAAGAATGCTTTTGGGTGCATTGAAAGGCACAGAGAGACCTGTTTCAGCCTCCTGCTTGGAAAACAGTTAAACCAGCTCAACTGATATGGCTGATAGCATGGCAGCGTATCTGGTCGATGCGCAATCTTTTATTAAACATTTTATATCAACTCTTGTATATGTAAAGAAACTATGTCTGAGTTCGAAATAACAAACACAAAATATCAGTATTCCCCCACGGTATCGAATATAAACTTTGTGAGAATTTAAGTAGCATTTTGATATTAGATCAGGAAATACTCTTTTAACAGAACTAAAGAGGATCACTCCGGTAACAGGTTCTGCTGGTTTTGAAAAGAATGAAGCCCAAGAAGCCTGAATATCTATGAGCATGAAATGACCTCACAGTAGTAGCAAGGATGCAGTCAAGAACATCTGATATCAGACTTCATATGCCCGATTCTCCTGAGTGAAGGTTTATCTTTGACATCTTCAAAGGAAAGATATTCAGCGCAGCATTTCTTCAGGCAGCGCTGCCAAAGCCCGGGGGAAATTATTTCTTGTGACATGCCCGGATTCTACAAGAAAAAAGTTTGCGATCTTGTCTCTCTGCACATTGTTATTTACGAAGCTGCGTATCGGTAATTCCCCCGCAGACATTCCGAGGGAGGGCCTGGAATTATCAAAGCTGTCGATGCCGCCATTGGATGAATATATAATACCTCCGGAGTCAAAGGCAATACAAAATCAGTCAGAAATTACTTAAAATGTTTGGTGATCCACTGTCTGTCTATTGACTTAAAAAAAAACATCTCGCTATGTATGCAATTTGTAACGTAGTGTTGTGCAACCCCAGAGTGTTGAAGTAAAAACACACACACATAAACGCGCGCGCGCCACACGCACACGCACACACACACACACACACACACACACACACACACACACACACACACACACCACACACACACACACACACCACACACGCACACACCGCCGCACGCACGCACGCACGCACACACACACACACACGCACACACACACACACGAACACACACACACACACAAGTTTGTCTACACAATATAATTGTCTCTTCAAGTGTTGCCAAGACAGTAACGGCTTTCTCTCCGCAGGCACCAGCGGGTCTACCCACAACCCTTCCTTCCGCGTGTATATGGTGGACGGCGGACACAGCGAAGCCACTTGGGTAAATCCACAGTTAGTTGCGTAGTTCATGTACGCCGAGTAAAGAACGGGTTGGCCGGAGATCCAATCGCCTCAGAGGGGAGTCACGGCGGAGGATCTGCAGCTAAACATCCTATATCCGAGGCCTTTGATGACCGTCCGGGCAGCGGGCTCTGTGAGATCCAGTCAAAGAACGACCACGTAGATTGCTCTGTAGGACTGGTCAAAGTCGGGTTGTATAGATTACATTACTGCGCTTCAAAGGCTGAACCACTGAAGCGCATCACGCCATGTTAAGCATCGACTGCTCGAATCTTGTTAACTGGTACGAGATCTTGTCCGTCCGAATTCACTTTGGATGGAAACGGACGGGGGGAAGCGGCGCGGCCCGAGACGAGTAAACACTCGCCGTCTGGTGAACGATCCGGCGAATTTGAAAACAAGCGATCGATAAACCTCAGCATTTGATACTTCTCTTCCTATCTCCTGTTCTAATGAATGTCGAAATGTAACGGGTATAGTCGAATATACTACTACAAAACACCTTTAAAAGAAAATTACAGGATCGACCTTCATAAAACCCGACTGACACTGCCTCCTCTTCCACCTAAACAGACGGTGCTGGACATGGAGACCTACAACATGAACATGACCTTGGCGAACCTCCAGGGCGGACGACCAGAATACGCACTCAGGTATGAGAGCTTTGGAGATTGCTCTGCATTATTTATTAGATGGGTATAAAGCTTCCAGCACTACAGAGAGAAAAATAATTCTTGTCATTTGCGAATATTGGACTGGGATAAAAGTCTGTGATGACATATATTTTAGTATCTTCCTGACAGAGACAGAGAGTCTAAAATGAAAAAAATATCTATCAGTATTTCTGTTATTTCCTTAAAAGATTCTAGCATATTCCCACCTTCCCATTAGATAACGGTACTTATCAATCAGGTACCAAGCGCAGGAGAGTTATGGTGTAACGTCTCTGACTCCAGCCTCCCTTGATAGCCTGGTGGTTGCCATGGCCACCGACGCGGAGCTTTTCCGAGTATTTTTGAGGTATTTCTGGTATTCCTTTTCTATGTATTTTAACTAGGTACATTATTTATAATGTAGTTTGTTATAAAGGGATGTAACACAAACTACTTTAGGTAGAGACAAACACTATAAACTGCTTCAGGACAGGCCAGAGTAGTATGCTGTAGAGGGAGGGAGAACTGTGGAACAAAGAATACAAAACGTCATCATCACATCATTCCCATGAGTATTATCACAATTTTCATTATAATACTAATTATTTTTTTATTATTGCTAATGTTCTTATTACTTTCATAATATTGATTATTATTGTTATCATCATCGTCATAATTATTGTGTGCAATGATAATAATAATAATAAATAATAATATTATAGATATGATTATATTATATTTTATTATTTATTATAATAATAATATATTATCATTATATTATTATTATAGAACTGCCACTACTATAATAATAATAAATTCATATGATGTTTCTTCCGTACACTTTAACTCTGACATATATATATTTTTCAACCTATTCCTGATACCAACTATCTCCTCATTGACTAATCTGTGCGCTTATTCACAGCCAAAAATAAAAATATAAGAAATATTGCCTAACAAACCACACTATCGTATAACATCGGCGTGATGTGCGTTTTCCTCATGTCAACTAGACCCGATCTTCTATATCTCGTGGCGACCTTGGTTCGTGATCTCTTTAGTTACCTATAATAACTCGGTCTCATATTTATAACAATTCCAAATGCACAGATCCTTAATCAATTCACTACATAATCAAGCATTACCACATAACATAATTAACTCGACCACGGTGCTAAATACACGACTCTTATGAATACAAGCACATTAACCATTTAAATGACCATATATTCCATATCACCAACCTGAACTGCTTACGACTATGAAAAACTAACAAACCACTCTATATACATACACTCAACAATAGCTGGGTTTATAAATAACCATAAATTTCCACACTGAGTAGATCTTAAAAAGTAAATACTAAACAAACTCTTTTCAATGAGCCAATATATCCACTCACAAATGAACCCAACAACATCTTAATTATAAGGAATAACATCACGATCCTACACTAGATAATAATCCTAACATATGAAACTAAATAATCACTATGATGCTATGTACTTATAGTTACAGAGAACTCTACATAATACTATATAGTTATAGCCTACGTATTAATAGTATATAAATAATACTCGTGTGGTGTAGTGTGTGTTTTGTGGTCTATGTTGTGTTTGGTATATAATGTATTACACAACACATTTTATGTAAAAACTGTATAACTATAAGTTAATATAAGTATAATATATATATTGGTGCTGTGTTGTTGTGGTTTGCTGACGTACCCTACAGATTACGGTAAATAGAATAACATCAATTATGCCTACACACAACGAACACATCGTCCGTCGTAGATCCATGTGTGTGTTGTAGTTGTGGTAATTGTCTGTCGCCAGCATCTAACTATAGCGTCAACTCCGCACGACTTAACATGCAACAGATCACCAACTAAGTCAATCAGGTTGAAAATGTTTCGATGCTTGTGTTACGAATCATGAAGCTACACCCACCATGATAGAATATGACATTTAATACACAGTATATGTCCATCCTAGAACATGGAAAACCTAATTGACGAAACGAACGAGTTCCCGTGCCGCGACAAGGAGTTATCGCAACGCGTTGTTCAAACTGGTGAAAGCACTCTCCAGCACGAGTGCCTGTCCGCATCAGAGACTTTGAGCACGCAGCCCGCGGCCATACGTGCACTATGAAGTTATTCCTAGAATCCCTACTATACTTTCGGCACGGGCACACAACACACACCCACGCACGCACGCAAACACACAAAACATACACACACACACACACACACACCACAAACACACACACACACAACACCAACAACACACACACACACACACACACACACACCACACATACACACCACAACACACACACTACCACACACACACATATATATAATATATATATATATATAATATATATATATATATATATATATATTATATATATATATATATCCATACACAGAATATATACATGAATCAACCCAGAGATCCCTAGCAAGCATAATAGTGACAACAGTGTAACCAGTGTACATGGTGGCATCCTTGCCAGCAATTTTATCAGGTGGTAGTGAAAACTGCAAGGGCAAAATAGAAAACCAAAGGAAGATAACATGCGACATTAAAAGGATGACAATCGTCGCATATTCTATTCTGACCAATACAATTTGCCAACCTGAACAATATGATAATGTGATCGTAACAAGTGACATTCCCACCGAATTTTTCCACGTCACCCAGACACACCACGATTCCTCTGCCAGCAGTCAAAATGTAGAAAGAAAAAATGGTCTTGCTGATTGCAATATGCTACCAGCAGTCTACCGTTAGTAGATTAACTGGCCATGGCAGGATACCTTCTCAGAAGCAGTAATATGGAGAGGGAGCATCAGTCACAACAGGCTCGACCCCCTCCCTCAGACCTGCCCGATCTTCCTTTCCCAATCCACCACCCAACCCTTCCGCATCCCTCCACCGTCAGAATGGCATATTCCGCCGCCCCACAAAATCATTAAACACAACCTCTTCGCCCATGCAATCTCTACACCAACGCCCATGTCCACCACCCTTGCAAGCGCAGCCCCAAGTGCCTGGCGTTCCACCCCCCTCGGCCTACTACCTCCAGCACACAATCGCCCACGCTCGCATGCGACAACATCGCAGAACGAACGGAGGCACAAAAGACAAGCGAGCAGTCGCAGCCGCAAAGACGGTCACCGTCACCTCCAGAGAAGAGGAAAGAAAATCAGAAGAGGGGCATCTGTCACCGAAACCATAGCAAGGTGCTGAACTCCAGGTTGTGTACTTGGCAACACAAGTGGTCACCCAAATATAATTGAAGACATCGGTGACACTCTTGTTTAAAAGTATGTATATATGTATATATATATATATATTATATATATATATATATATATATATATATATATATATATATATATATATATATATATATATATATAAAGAATGAGAAGAAGCAAACATAAATTTTATTCAAGCTTTGCAGCAACAACAAGAATTAATTATAGATACTAAATTATTCACAAATTCGGATATTTTCCTAAGCAATGTAAAAGTATCACGAAGAATAAAACAAAAGTGATCAGCTTGTTTGACGTCGCTGCTTAGGAAAACCTTCATTCAAACCATGCAGTTCAGCCATAATAGAATACGTCAATACACTATCTACTTGGTCGTTTAGAAAAAAATATAAATAATTATTACTAAGAGAAATGTAGATATAAAATGTTAGTTTTATTAATATAATTTTTTCATGTGTATAGACGTGATGTAGAGCGAGATAAAGGACATTGCATATGTTATGTAAGACATTTACATCAAATCAAGATCTTCACTCCTTGTAAAAAACATCTAGGTACCTGTGCACAGCAGTATGTATCCTTCCCGCATAAGTAGTACATTCGGTACACATTCTCTAGCTACAGAAGAATTATTTAACTACCTCGGAAATTATTTTAAGGAAATGTCTTTGAAAAGAGAAAACACTTTTTCATCTTCGATGGAGTAACACGAGGATCACAAATCCAATGCAAAGTTAGCAGGGATTATAATGAAATAAAATAGCTTATAAACAAGCCTATAAGGATCACAGAAATCAGTTTGTTTTGTTTTAGATATTATGATATCAAGCATACCCACTCTGATGACCCAAACCGATGTTTATTACATGGCAGATCGCAGGCCACACACTCCAAGCTGACAACCCGTCCCGTGATCTGATGCACTCCGCTCCAATCCCATATTATATATGATTTTATCATCACAAGACGGCAGCAGACAAGTAAACAGCTGCCTCCACGACCCTAGAAACACAGCCAGTACATGTCTATTACCAAGACCATTCATACCGCATTCAGTACGAGTTTTAACAACAGTCCTGACAAAGAAAATACGCGAAACAATTACCGTAGGACGTAATAGGGCTTTTCCCTGCATTTAGCACTCATCAGTAATAAACAAACCTTGATGCATCTTTATTTAACGAGACCTACCTGTCTTGGAAGACGTGCCATCAAAACACCTATTTTCAAATCAGCTGATGGAGACTAAATGAGTAATCATCACTTTATTCTATGTGATATCTAAAATGATGGAGAAAATGAATTGACAATATTCTTAAAAATCCAATCACCTTATTTCTGAAATGCTGTAAGGGTTAAAAATAAGCTCTCCACTGAAACAGCATTATCAAAAGTTACTAGTCGGCTTATCAAAATAAACAGTAAGAGAATTTACAACTATGGGTTCATAAGTAATAACCACAAGAACCCAATTGTTTTTCTAATGTAAGAAAAAATACATAAATATTCACACATGCATACACACACACACACGAATGCACGAACACACACACACACACACACACACACACACACACACACACACACAACACATATAATATATATAAATATATATATATATATATATATATATATATATATATATATCGGGCCCTAGCCAGGGCCACGCTCAAAAAAAAAAAAAAAAAAAAAAAACACAATCAATTCCCATCCAACTAAACCGAAAACAAGGGCCGGCCACAGGGCGATATACTAACAACTTACTGTAAAACCATAAACCATAACCAGAGACCTACTTAAGTTCACTTTTTCTCAGTAACCACAAGGAGTTGGGGAGTTTTGGGCGCGTTAGAAAGGTCTCGAGGTCCTGTGTGGGGTATATATATATATTATATATATATATATATATAATATATGATTCTATGGATATATATATATATATATATATATGATTCTGTGGATATATATATATAATATATAAATAAATATATATATATAATATATACATGCATATATATATATATATTTATATATATATATATATACATATATATATATATATATATATATATATATATATATACATATACATACATACATATATATATATATATATATATATATATATATTATGCGTCACCGTGTGCCAAAAGAGTAGAGAGGACACTCCATTTGTGCTGTTCATTTAGCACTGATAATAACACGGACGGCGGCAGTTTAC